CGTTGAGAAGCCGTGAATAGTGGAGTTAAACCGTGCCCGGCAATTGCCTAACGAAAACAATGGAAAATGGTCGCGCAATATCATGGATTGGCTGAAGTTAGATATTAACACCACTGGATGCCGACCGGCTCAGTGGTTTGAATGTTGAGCGTTCACACGCGAGGTCAAAGATCCTAGGTTCGAGTCCCATGTGGATGATCGTAGATTCATACTGTTGGGGAGTTTCATACTAGGACAGATTGACCGTCCACTGCTTCTAGGTTTTCAATGGTGGTCTAACATGAATCAATTCTTGATCTCAATCAGAAATCAAAATTCTCCACAACTCTATACCTATATGTTGATCTCAACATTTTCTATGAGATTTGACAGAATCAATAGAGATTTCTTTGTATTTAGTTACTTAAAAGCTTTTTTTCATTTATGAAATCAAATAAAAACATTGTGTTCAACAGATATACATTTTTCACTGGTTGAAATCATGAGTCAATTGAAACTAGACCACCATAGAAAACCTGGAAGCACTGAACGGCCGTTTCGTCCTAGTATGGGACTCCTCATCAGTGCGCATCCACGATCCTGCCCCCAGCGAGATTCAAACCCATGACCTATCAGTCAAGCGCCACGCGCCTAACCAACTAGACCATGGTGGTCTAGCTTCATTTGACTCATGATTTCAACCAGTGAAATTTCTAAAAATCTCCACAAAACCTATTCAGATATACATCTTGTTTGTTTATCATTATCATGACCTTAAACTATCATCATTAATTTATTTTCATTTCATTCCATTGATTTTACATTTAAAAATATCCCACCCCCCTCCTACTCTTTAATAATTATTTCTCATGTTACCATGATTTTATTGATAATTATTTCTGACGTTGTTTCACTTTATTTAACCTTTTCTATGTTACATTTAATTATTGTAACGAAATAAAAAAAAGAAAGAAAGAAAACATTTTAATGATTGTCTCCATGCCCATTATAACCTATTGTTAGATGATTAAGCTTGAAATGCCTATTTATTTGCTTATATTGTGTTGAGACTATGCAACCTTTAATGATTATTATTATTATTATTACTATTATTACTATACAATTTAGTATTTTATTCATTCTATCATATCATGTTTATTCATTGTTCATACTTCCTTATGAAATAAACCCGTAAAATTTCATGATCTATGTACATGTATGCACATATGTATACAATTGTATAGTTTGATAATAATAAATTAATATATTTGTATTAGTTCAATGAGTAGAAAAAATGAGATTTTCTGATGTTTCGTAACTTAATGTAAATCACTTCTTCAATGAATAAATCATTAAATCAAAATTAAATAAGAACAATAGGTTCAATGAAGAGTTCTCTTCTCGGTGAATTCATTTTCAAAGCTGTACAATCACAAATATATATATATATATATATATATATATATATATATATATATATATTTTCCAGGATGATAATAATTACAATAATAATGATAATAAACTTCTGTTAGACATGGTAACAGTGAGGTAGAATAAACAAAGGTATTTAAAAAGCATATTTATATAAAGAGGGAAACTAATAATCGTTTGTCTATTAAGGGTTTAGATTTTCCTCAAAAGATAAATAGGGAAATTATCATTGGGAAAGGATAGCTCAGCATGATAAGATAGAATGTTGAAATTGAGATTAAATGTAATCAGGAGGATCATAGAAACAGAAATAAACCAGTCAAGTGTAAAAGGATTAGAGAGAAAATGGAAGGAGAAGCGATAGCTATAAAGGAATAAGAGCATGAAAAAAACTATAAGACATGAAGTCCATAGTAGAAGAAGAGGTTGTACCAATCTCTTTTATGGGCACACTAATTGGCAATCTTTCTACAAACTGTGTCTTTAAAGCATCAAATTGTTATTTTGAAGTGGCTAAACAGACGTTTTTTCATGAGTTTTTTCATGAGTAGAATAAACAAATGTATTAAGAAAATGTTTTTCTGAACAGGGAAACTAATAATCATTTGATTATTAAGTGTTTAGATTCTCCTCGAAAGATGGATAGGGAAATTATCATCGGGAAAGGATAAAATGTTGAAATTGAGATGAAATGTAATCTGGAGGGTCGTAGAAACAGAAATAAACCAGTTGGGTGTAGAAGATTTAAGGAGAAGATAGAAGGGGAAGCAGACAGCTATAAAGGAATAATACTATGAAAAAAATTATAAGACATGAAGTCCATGGTAAAAGAACAGGTTGTACTATTCTCTTTTATGGAAACACATATCGAGAATTGGTCTGAGATGTAAGCCAGGTTCGTGTATTTATGGCAGACCATACAATCGCGGTATAATTGATATTGTTGGTTTTATGTGCTCAAGGATATGTTCATCGATTGATTGATCATTTTTTCATTCTCTTAAGAACTTCAATCAGTTGCTTTGCTATTATTTCAGTCTTGTTTTTCTCATTGATTAGTATGGAGAATTCGGTGTCATTTGATAATACCTTCGTCATTTTTTCAACATAAATCTTTCGGTCGAGCAGCACTAAACTCACACTTTTATCTGAACGTGTTATAATCAAGTCATTAGTGTTTCTAAGTTGTTTTAATTTATCACTATCTTTCGATGGAAATTTAAGCCATTAACAATTAAACGATTATTAGTTTCCCTGTTCAGAAAACGTTTTTTAATAACTTTGTTTGTTCTACGTCAATGTCACCATGTCCAACAGAAGTTTATTATCATTATTATTGTAATTATTATCATCCTGAAAAAGAGATAGGTGCAGCTTTGAAAATGGATTCACCGAAAAGAGAACTCTTCGCTGAATCAATCTTTCTTATTTAATGTCTTAATGGGTGAATTCCAACTACTAAAAAGAAAATCAACATTAATCCTTTGAAGGAAGGGTTGAATTTGAGTGATAAAATATCAGAAAATCTATTTTTTTTCTACTCATTGGAATTATAAAGATAATTTTTTTTACATAAAACAATCTACTCAATTACACGGCAAAGGAATATTTGTTGCCAAGGCATGGAAAGATTAAATACCATCTACTTTTGAATACATAACTCAGTTTTTGACGCCTATTCGTAACGGCTTCAAAACCTTCAGAAGACTAGATTTCGGCTGCTTACTAATCACCTTGAAGGATTGCCAGCTATCGACCTGATGTCCTGTATCAAGGATATGTTTTTTGATTGTACACTTTATAGTCTTTCTTTCTCTTGTTCTGAGGCTTTTTGTAACATGTTCAAAAAATCTAATATATGCCCTCATTTCTGTTCGATTAATGTAACTGCTTTGACAGGTCCATGTAAATTTATCAATACAGTTGACGGTTACATGAGGTCTACTCAGTTTATTTTTATCAGCGTTTACTCGTTATATAATCACTCATTTCTAGCCGTTTAAATTGTTGTCACAATCAATGTTCTAGAATGTTCTTTCACATAAGGTGTATATCTACAATGTTCAGTCTATTAATTTCACTTACATCCTTGCTATACTATACTAATATATCTTCAATCTAACTTCCCACTAAATCCTCTCATGTAAGTAATTTAAACCCATTATGTAATTATGATTTTAAGATATCACAGGTTGTAAACAGCTGATGAGAACCTACTAAATAAAATGAATTTATGCTATTCTACTAGAATCTACTCAATGTTCAATGTATTTGAGATGATCAAATCAAACCTTAGTAATGATACCTACAATTGTATAGTTTGATAATAAATTCATTGAAAAAGAGAATTGTTTCTTTGAATTTCATGTTGATTAGTATGAATTGATACACTGAAAGAGAACAGTTATAGATGGATATGATGGTAAATATTATTTCTGAACAATTGAATTACACAACATATAGATCAGATCACTAATGATAAATAGTTCTATTAATGTATATTATTGAGATTTAGTTCTTACTTTTAAATGTCCAAAAAATGGAATAATATCATGAATCTTACAAGGAAATAAACTTATTACAATGTTGTGTTGTGATGAGTACTATAATGCTAATGTTAGCCATTTGATGATTTAAATAACTCAGAAGTTAATAAGCTAGAAAAACTATAAAAGTGTGTATACTAAGTAGATTACCAAAACATTTACAGAGGAAAATAGAATGAGTTGTATTAAAGACGTCTATCCTCGTGATGTTTATTGTCATAATCTGAAGAAGTAAACAAAATCACTAAAATTTATGGGATAATTCTATGATATGTGCTACTGATGTTGACAGATATAAGTAGTATGTAACAACAAACGAGAGTGTGATGCCTGATGGCAGAAAGTTGAGAAAATCAAAGAGAAGAGAACAAGAACAGAGATTGACTGGTATGAAAACGATGGAACAACAAAGTCTGATACAAATGATGGGTATTTCGCAAATGAAGTATTTGCTGTATGATTCTCAGATTTTGCCAAGATATTCTGTAATGCTATATTAAGATGCATTTGATTGTCCCCATTGGTGTCCTCGTTCACTACAATTCTATTATGACTTAGCCATAAACTTTACGCGTTTTCGAATAAGTTTAGTAATTCAACACTATACATATTAATAGAAACATCTCGCGGGCGGGATCGTTGATGCGCACTGATGAGGAGTCCCATACAAGGACGAAATGGCCGTTCAATGCTTTCAGGTTTTTCATGGTGGTCTAGCTGTAACTGAATTCAACTGTTAGATAACTATTCTTTATAACATTTTTCGTAAAATCTAAAGATTAGAATAACTTAAATGTTCTTTTTTTATTATAAAGTAGAGTCATTTGAAAATTTACTGTAAAATGGAAACCAGTAATCAGCTCACAACTTTTAGCTTGGGACCTACATCTAGATGCACTGACTAAAATACACACAGAAGGGTACCCTGGTTCCCACCCATTATTCAACTGATATCGATTGTATTTGAAGGTATATTTTAAACTGACAAAACAGTAATATTCACGAAATTATTTTGTGTAGTACATATCACATTACACTACTTACCACTTTGACGCCTTAGTAGAGAATTTCTTGGAGGACCTATAATGTTAAAAAAGAATAACATAATCTTTTGAATAAATTCTGTTTATATATAAAAAATGCATCAGAAAACAGAAATAATAGGATTCCTTAACTTCTCGTGTTCAAAACGGCACCACTGATCACATCGTAGTATTTAATCACATTTTTTAATCACCATCGTTATATGTTCTTGTGAGATGAAGGTACATCCAGCTGACTAGTCCCAAATAGGACAAAACGGGTGTCCTGAATTTCATTGTGGACCATCATAATTTCTGCATATAATGCACACTTATGAACAATGATTTAGGCAAAGTTACATTAATTTATCTTATTGAATATTCTGTTTTACCATTAGCTGATAACAGTTTGTATTTTTATAAATGATACTTTATACATACCAACATTTTATTGAAAGGATTACAACAGGTCCAGCACAAGTGTTAAGGTAATTAATGATAATAAGATTTCATAATTAAATAGTTTATTCAATGAATAAATCAGGAAAACCAATTAAAACTGTAACAGTGGGTTGACGGGCTTATAAACACCCCTTTATACTATATAGTAAATGAATAAAATATGATTATGAACTTCAGGAATAAGCAACTCTTTAAAATGTAATGAGTTCAGATTAATTAGTTGAAATATAAATTATAAGTATTACAAGCAGAGATGAATAGTGGCTAGCATTGGAATTCAAGACAAGCGTTTCGTCCTATTTGGGATTTGTCAGTTGGATATTACCACAACTTAGGATTGATATTCACTTTAGGACTCAAACCCAGTATTGTTTGCTTGAAACGCCATCCGATTGGCTACTAAGTTTAGATAGCTACTTACTTGTTCAACGGGGGGAAGCTTCAAATCATTTTTTTGTATTGTTTGTTTTAATATTCTTATTGGTATCTAGTACTGCAACTGATCAGTCTCCTAAAATACTTGTAAAATTAAAGCATATCAAGGTTATTTGCACCGGATGCATATATGTCAGTAAGAGATATCAATGGGAAGATACAAACAAACAATACAAATATGAATAAACCATCAGGATAGATACAAAGAGATTTAAACTTTAAAATATGATTTACTGAAATTAGAGTAGTGCCATAGTGTTTTGTTATCAGTGAAGCTTGAGAAATTCTTTATTCGATCACTTGTAGATTTTAATAGTTGAGATCTTGGGTCATTTGAAGCTAGATCATCATGGAAAGCGTGGAAGCACTTGATGGACGTTTCGTCTTATTGTGGGACTCCTCAGCAGCGTGCATCCACGATCCCGCCTCGCGAGATTTGAGCACATGACCTGCCAGTCTTGCGCGAGCGCTTAGCCACTGAACGACTGAGCCAGCAACCAACGGTGTTAATGTTTAACTTCAACTTATTCACAAAATTGAGCGACACATTCGCCATTGTCTTCAGTGAGTTACTATCTCACAACAGACCTGGCTGAACTCCACTGGTCACTGCTTCGAATCTCGTGAGGCTGGATAGAAAAGGAAATTATAACTAAACTCTTAAAGGTTACACAAACATACTGTATGAATCTAAAAAGTTATCAGACACAAAAATATATGGAATTAAAGTAACAGTAGTTAGTAGCCAAGGTAAGCATGGTAAGCATTTAGTGTATGTAAAATGTACTGGATACAAGTAGTGGACAATATAAACTTTTGATCCAGAGTGTTAAAGATGAGAAAGAATTGGTAGATTTACAAAATTTCAGTGAACAATCTTAATATAAGTATGTGCGTTAGTCGAGTGATCAAAATCAATTAAATGTTTGAGAACAGACTTTTCAACCTCTTTTGGCTCACCGCTATAGAAACAGGCTAAACTATGTTTTTCTTCTTTAAATGTTAAAGTGAATACTGATTACAGCTAATGAATATTACTTAATCTAAACTGGTAAGATGAGAAAGCTCGTTTATATTTTGTATAGAGAATAGTTATTGACTTTTAGTGGTAAGTTGAAGCTAAGTTGTTTAATTTTAATTCTTCCATTGTTATATTTTTTGCAAAGGGAGATTTGTGAAGTTTATAAAATTTTCATAGTTTAAATCACTATCTGCTCTTCGTGATTAAGAGCTTGTATGAGAGATCGTAGATCATTGGTTCGTTTGTCGGATTCAGGGTAGAAGATGCGATTCACTGAGTAGTCCCATATTAAGACGAATCATCCATCCATTACTTCCAGGTTTTCAGTGATGGTCTAGATGAGATCACTCAATGATTTAAACTAAGAAAACTATTATTACTATTATACAAGTTTTCATGTGGTTCAATGCTTGCAATCTGTATATATTTGATTTTGTACATACAACTAATCATATTCATTCTTCATATTAGAGTCTAAAGATGAATTCGATTATTTTTTTATGATCATATGTGCAGTGGATTGATATTTATTCATTGATGTTGTATTATTTTCATGGAGTTTTGTTCTCTGAGCTGGATGTTTTGGTCGTCCAGCTCAAAGAACAAAACTCCATCAAAATCATCCAACTGAGCTATAAATCTTCTCCACCATCTCAAAATGTTGTATTATTGAATGTATGGGATATTGATTGGTCAACTTTTTCTAAATACAGCTACAAGGAAATCCGGTTATTTTAAAAGGATATATGACATCAACATCTTGAAGACTTAAAAAATGTTTTAGAAAAGAGAATCTTTGCATGTTTTCGACAAAAAAAACACACCTTTTATTTACATTTATTTACGTTTCAATCAGAAAATTCAGCATATTCGTGTATTGTCCATATACTTCCGTTTCTAATGTATTTTTGCTTTAGCCAGGAACAAAAAAAAACAATTTTTGACGTTATATTTTCCTGTAACAAACAGAGAATCCATGGACAAATTTACTCTGAAACCTATTTTTCTTTTTTCTTCATAGAGTTATCATGATAAGATTGAATAAGTCTTTTTTTAACGTAGACAAATGATTCTAGATTGTTCTCAGTATACGCTTTCAGATGTTATAAATTCTGGTTTGATTTAAGAAACAGTGTGGAGTTGAATCTACGCTTTTTGTCCCATTTGAGATTCATCAACCATTTGTACCTGTATCCTAGTATTAATGTTTACTTTAGGATTTTAATACACTATCTTTTACTTTAAACACATAACGCATTATTCACTTAGATAATGAGTTCAAATAACACATACTTGTTCAACTGGTATAATTCTTTAATTTGATTTATAATGATTTGGATTTTCTCGATAAATTATTAAAATTCAGTCAACGACGTGATTGTGGTGTATGCTACTGATATCAACAGATATAAGTAGTATGTATCATCAATAGAAAGTGACATACCTGGAGGTAGAAGGTTAAGAAGATCAAGGGAAAAAAAGAGAACGAGAACAAAGAATGAATGGTATGGAAACGAGAGAACAATCAAGTCTGTGACGGTCGATTGACGTTTTGCAAATGACGTATTTACTATATGGTTCTTAGATTTTATTAAGACGTTCTGTAATTCTGAATTGAAATACATTTGATTGTCCCAACCAATATTCCCATTCACTACAAGATAATCTAAATCATTTCTAACTTAATTATAATTTGATGATTTCAGTTGTTGTTTACATTCAATTTGTACCATTTGTACCATGGAATTCTGGTCTACAAATTTATTTACCCATTTGTTTTCATCAATAACATAATTTACATTGTTATCTATGAAATAACAACATCTGAAGTGTAATCTAGTTTAAATCTGTATTAGCTCATGAAGACAAATATGATATTAAGATGCATACTTTAAATCTAAACAATGGAAAAGCACCATGAAAGAAGAAAATATATCTAAGAACATGAAAATAAGATTTTAAATAAGGATTATACCTATTTTGGTTGCCATGTAATTTCCTCCTACAGAGTTCAGCTCAACTACTAATCAATTTATAAGTTGATACTTTATTATTGTTTGAGCATATTTAAACTATCAAAGTAACTCAAGGTGGTCTATATTAAATAACATTTAACAACTCGTATTACCTACTTTAATTAGAATTAAGCGTTTACAAGTAGACAGGCATTGCTAAAATATCGGATATAAGAAAAAAAGTACTATTATATATATATATGAGGGAATATTTTATCAAAATCTATAAATGAATTACGATCAATCCATTTGATCTACTTTTAATGGTAACATTATAACCGCGTAATTAAATACCAGATGATATGCAGTATTTAACATGTTCATTTCTCAACCGATCGAAAAGTATGTGATTAAGCATAAATTGGAAAGATAATTGAATAAATTCATTAAAAAAATTCTTGAGAAAGATTGCTCGATGTTAGCTGTATGTCCTGTCTGAATTAATTAAATGAGTTAAAATGTAACTGTTAACCGTTTTAACTACAACTTTGCCTAACCACATAGAGAGATACTCACAAGCTTGAATATACAAATTCCTAGACTATTTGCCAATATAACTTGGAGTTGGATTGATAGATACAGAAAAAAAGTGGCCAGTCTAGGCAATTCATCTTTCAACCTCGGAGTGATCATAATTAATACACTAAGGGTAAACTAGCTACTATGATAAGAGAGGTGATCGATAAGTTTAATTACTTTAAAGAATTAGATGAGGAAGAATTTGTCAGTCAACTTATAAACGTTAAAATATAATGGTGTCAGTCAGTCAGTTATCTACAACGTAGGATCAGGCACATATACGCATCAATTCAAGTTACCATACCTCATTAGCACAACAAGATGAACACAATATAATGATGATAGATTTGTAATAGTATAAGCTAATATTGAAGTGATGAAATGTAATTATTCACACAAACAGTCTCTATATTTGACTAGTCTATAAGGTTCTTTTAGTATAAACATTCATAAAGTGTTAAAATAAACATATTTAAGGTTCATGATTAAGTTAATTATTTTTCGAAGAAGTTTGATCAACGCTTTATTTTCCCATATGGACACAAATCTGAAATGTTCCAATCCTTTTAGATCACATAGTGTCATTTAGTTTTTCTTAGTTTAATGTGGAAATGTATCATTTCTGTGTAGTGAGATCCAACTGGGTAACTATGAGCCTTTGGAAAAATGTTGATATGATGAAAATGTATATTTTCATTTTTTTAAATTTTGTATTCATAATGAATTAAGAATTAAAATAAAGTCACAAACATCTGGTAGATGAGAACTTAGGAAAAATGTAACCCAAATTCAAACCAGTTTGAAAACGGTCAGGATAGAATAATCTATGAAATTATTAATTGCAAAACAGAACAGATTTTCTTAGCAGATATATATATATATATATATCCTGAAGGGAAATTGAAAAGACGAAGGTCGAAGATGACCCTACTTCGAGAATTGGAAGCAGACATGAAAAGGACGAATAGCAACTGGAAAGAACTTGAAAGAATTGACGAGGATAGGATTGAATGGAGAGTGCTGGTGGGTGGCCTATGCTCCTAAATCAGGGGTAACAGGCGTAAGTAAGTAAACACTATTGCGTATACATCTTCAAAAGCGAAAATGGTTTAACTTGAACATTGAGACGGTGAAGAAGATTTATAGCTCAGGCGGATGATTTTAATAGAGTTTCGCTCTCTGAATTGGATGGTTTGGTCATAGAGCTTTCATCGTTCTTCTGGACATCATCAGCACAAAATTCAAGCAGAAGTGAAGTGTTTGAATTCCTCCACATATGGCTCACAGTTTGTAAATAATATCAGGTTAAAAGTCAACAATAACCAATCAAAATCGAGGTCTACAGGAAAAGCTGTGAGCAATATGTGGAGAAGCTCAAACAATTCACTTCTACCTGACGTTTGTGCTGATAATGTTCAGAAGAACGATGAAAGCTCTACAACCAAATCATCCAACTCAGTGAACAAGACTAGGTGAACATTCATTATAATTTCTTAAAGACTACAGTCTATAATATTGATAATTATTATTTCTATGATATATTTTAGGTATTTTGCATTTAAATTGAATGTAAATATAAAAACTTGGAATACTATTAACAATTAGTAGAACTGCTATCTTAAATGTACATTAACGTTTAAGTAATTGGAATTCAGTGGACAAAAATTATAATCAATTCATACAAATTAGTGGATTCAGATAATTTTGTTGCCAATCAATATTTTGTGTAGTTAGGTGATTTATCTATGAATAAATGTCACCGTGGATATTAATTTATCAGGAGCTTCTCCTCCTAACTATAACTCTACATGGAATGGAACTTAAGACTTAAAAATCTCTCTTCTTGTGCCTATATATACATGTCGTCAATCCTCGTGTATAATTATCGACGTAAATCGAGTGAGTAAATAAAAGAATTAAATAAGCGAAATGCGAAAATGGATTTTTGAATGCGTATATTTTGTACACTCATAGATTTGAATAGACATTCAGAAGAATGAAGCGAAGAAAAGAGTGCGAAGCGAAATGACATTCAGTGGAGATGGCATCTGAGCCAACTCTACTTAACCAAGAGTGAATCCATATTTATAGCCAAACAAAATAAGTTACAGTCATGTAATGAGTAGAATAAGAAGTACACAGAAATATGCTCACATAAAATCAGTCAAAGTTGATAAGTGACTAAATGACAAGATCAAAATGTGACTCAAGTAGAATGAATATTTTGGTCTGTCCTGAAGTTAGAATAAGTAATATGAGCTTAACATAGTAACCGACACTACGATCGATTTACGCTCACATAAAAACAGTCAAAGGTGATAAGTGAACAAATGACAAGGTCAAAATGTAGCTTGAGAAGAATGAATAGATTGATCTGTTCAAAAGCTAAAATAAATAATTATGGGCTTAACATAATAACTGATACTACAACCTAGAATTTAATTTTTTTTTTCTTGAAAATTAAATCATACACATCACTTACCATCGACATCAAATCGAACTGATGAAGGAACTTGTGTATCACTTAGTCTACGAGCTAATTTATTTGCAAGTGATGTTAATACTGAAGCCATTAATCAAGAAATAATTGAAATAGGAAACAGTTTGTTTTTTGTAAAGTGTTATTTTAAAGTATCTATAGGAATAATATAAAAATATGTTCAATTGATTATAGTCCCACAAATGTATACAGAAGAACTAATGATAATCATTATTTTGTTTCAATATTACATTAGACAATATTAATGAGAAACAATTTGTGACTTATTTTCTTATTTATATATATATATATTAGTAAACATCCCACCCTTTTCTGATTGGTTCATAAATTCAATGACCTTAAATCAACCAATTAGATTTATGGATGAAACGTTTAAATTATTTTAAATAAGGTATGATGAGTCAATGCTCAAGGTTAATTTATGATTCATTCATTGATTATTAATTTACTTTAGACATGTGTGAATAATAAACAAATCAGTCATTATGATAGTTTTGATCATTGAAACTTAATAGTTTAGATTATTCATTTGTGAATAGAATTATATAATATAAATTATTAAAGAAATTACTGATTTGTCTTATAGTTTATGATTAGATTATAAGGTGGTTTAGTGTTACTTTTCTTCATTGAAATTAAGAATAATTGACAGTATGGATTTCGGATTGAGATCATGAATGGATTGATGTTAGACTACTATTGAAAACTTGAGAGCACTGGAAGACTATTTCGTCCTATTATAGGACTTCTCAGTAGTAATTTCCAGATTTTCAATGTTGGTCCAACATTAATCGAATTATGATCTCAATCAAAAACTTCATAATCTCTACAACTCTATACTGATAATTATGAGTTCCATTGGGGTATGTGAACGAAGAATACTCTGTAAAATTTGTAGTCATTTTAACAGTTCAATTCATGAGTCAATCTAAGCTAGATCCTTTCTTGATTGATAATTTTTAACAATGAATGAACGAATTAAAGTTATATATAATCAGTTAGGAAGTTAAAGTTTACGGTCAATAATTTCATTGATAATACAGTGAATTAAGCAAAGATGAATACTGGTTAGCAGTGGAATCCAGGACACGTGTTTCATCCTATTTGTAACTCGTCAACTAGATATACCTGCATCTCAGAGTTGATGTTCACTCTGAGACCAGAACCCTATACCGTTCAATTCAATCGCCATGACGTTATCCAGTTAGCTACTGACTCCTGATAGCCACTTCCTTGTGCAATGAGGTGAAGTTTTAATTGACTTGGTATTATTTACTTGAAGTTTCGCATTAAATAATTTTAGAGAATTTTATTTCAAATTTCTTTTTACCTTTGGTATATACTACTTCTATCTTTCAACATAAGTATTATGTGAACACTAATCAGGAGTGCAATACTTGACAGCAGAAGGCTAAGTAAATCTAGTTGAAGAAAACAGAACAAGAATTAAAAAAGAAATTATAAAGTGGAAGAATCCTACAGACAGTAAGGGACAGTTGATAGAAAATTCGCAAATGAAGTATTTTGATATACGATTTTCACAATTCGCTTTTCCCCACTTAGATTCATATTCATTACATACCAATTGTAAATATACACTAAAAGATAATCTTAATTTTTACTTTGAAAAAAAATAAATGAACTGAATAAAACGTTTGGTTGACCAGGTCAAAACTTGTTGACATAACTCAATAGTACATTGAATAGTGTCTGTTAATTACTCATTATAGAAGCATGATCATTATGTGAACATTATGAAAAATAAACTACCCAAAAAAATTATTTTTAACCTATTTAGAATAACAATTCACCAAAACCATGATCTCATTGTTGCTATGCATAAAGTACGATCGGAAAAAAATTGATTTTCTATTCTATCAAGTATCTAATTTCAAACATATGAAACTCAAAACAACTTCCAACCAATATCAAAGTGAGAACCTTCAATACGAACATCAATGCAGTTCTACTGTATGGAGCTGAAAATTGGAGAACTACAACAACCATCATCAAGAAGGTACAAGTATTTATAAATAGTTGTCTACGCAAGATTATTCAACATCCATTGACCGGATGCCATGAGCAACAGCCTTTTGTGGGAGAGAACAAACCAGCTTCCAGCTGAAGAGGAAATTAGGAAAAGGCGATGGAAATGGATAGGACATACATTAAGCGAATCGTCAAACTGCATCACCAAACAATCCCTAACTTGGAATCCTGAAGGAAGACGGAAAAGAGGAAGGCCTAAGAAAACATTACGTTGGGAAATAGAATCAGATATGCAAAGGATGAATAACAATTGGAAAGAGTTGGAAAGGACTGCTTAGGACAGTGTTGGATGGCGAGTGCTAGTGAGCGGCCTATGCTCCCGGACGAGGAGTAACAGGCCTAAGTAAGTAATCTAATTTCAAAACAACCTGTAAAAATTTTTCAAAAGTACAAAATTATTTTCTAGCACTTTCTGCTACTCAATTCATTATTTCATTGTAATTACCATTTACAGACTATTGAATTTTTGAGAGAAAAAACAACAACCAAAAGTGCAAATTTTTACAGTTTTCAGTGGCTCAGGATCTGACTTCGATTGGATCGTATGAATGATTGTTATTGATAATACACATATCGTTAATCCTCGTATAAAATTATCAACTTAAATCGCATTAGTGAATAACGGAATTAAAAAAGTCGAATACAGTCGTTAATCGAAACTGACAATCAGAAAGACGTAGCGAAAGAAGTGAAGAAGAGAGTGCGAAACGAGACTGAACGCAGTGGAGAAGGCGTATGAGCCAACTCAATTTAATTAAGCGTGAATCAATATTTATATTCAGGCAAAAGTAAGTTACAGACACATTATGAATAGGGTAAGTAATTAACACACATATACTCAAATAAAAACAGTCACAGTGAATAAGCGAATATGTGACAAATTCAAAATATGGCTTAAGAAAAATGAATAAACTGATCCGTCCAGAAGCTAGAATAACCCATTTGAGCTTGACATAGCAACTGATACTACAATAATTTCTTACTGTTATTAGTTTTATTCAATATTATATTTTCGGTAGAATATAGAATTCTCAGCACAAAGTATTTCAACAAGTTTCGGTTTCTTATTTTTTGATCGATCATGACGATTACATATTGAGTGATCGCCAATTAGATGTTAACAGTTTAGGAATCGACATCTGAATAATGTCCATTCTTTTCGACGTATATCGCCAGTAACTACAATGTCTCTGATTGGGCTCTTTCCTAACTTGTGCAGTAAACTTTTCATAAATGCGCCTGAATTGGTTGTACAATTAATCAATACAATGATGTATTAAAACAAACAAGAAAACAGATAACATGTTGAAATATCTAGATGGCAGAAGATTTTGAAAACAATTTATGACCGATTTAAGTTGAGTTCTGATGAAAAGCTTTGTTTGAGATCTTTAAGCAATAGCATATAATGTTTCATAAAATGAATGACAAGTAATATAATGAAATTGGTATTTGATTTGAGTCTTGAAGTGAACATCAACTCTGAGATAAAGGTACATCCATTTGACGAGTCGCAAATAAGACGAGACGTGTGGAATAGATTCCATTACTAGCCACTATCCATCTTTGTTTATAATACTTGTGAATTAATTTAATATCGAGGCAATACGCACAGTATGTATATACGTTAATAAGAGACTGATCAATTGCAGTCCTAAATATCAATGGGACGATTCAAGTAAACAATACTTAATGAATTTAATGTACATGTACGTTATTTAATCGATAGTGATTGAATGAAAGCCAGAATGTACATTTCGTGCTAGGTAACACGTTTCCAATCTTTTGAAGGATACAAAATGTTCACAGTTTAGAGATTATATTATTCGGTAGTCAGTTTTTGAAAACTATTCAGTTCCACAAATGTTGAGTTACAAATGGAATATCTGAGTAGTAAAATTACTGATTGTAGCATAACTTCAAATCTAAATCAAGCACTGGTTCCCTTAGGATTATACATACGCATCTTATGACAGATATCAACTAACATAAAACATCCATCCAGAGTCAACTATATACTGACATTAAAGTTATTTTGATTAATAACGATACTATAATTATCAGAATGGGTTTTGTGGAGATTTTTAGAAATTTCTTTGGTTGAAATCATGAGTCAGTTGAAACTAGACCACTATGGAGAACCTGGGAGCACTGGACGGCCATTTCATCCTAGTATGGGACTCACCAACAGTGCGCATTCACGATCCCGCACCCCTCGAGATTCAAACCCAGGACCTATCAGTCTTGCGCCAAGCGCTTAACCAACTAGACCACTGAGTCGGCATCCAACGGTGTTAATGTCTAACTTCAACCAATCCACGAAGTTGCGCCACCGTACACCATTGTCTTCAGTGAGCTGATATATCATAACAGACCTGGTTGAAGTCCACTGGTAACGTCTTCTCACTAGAACTCCAGGAGTGTCTCTTGAAGTTAGTCACTAGTGAGCAGACTAATAGGTCCTGGGTTCAAATCTCGCGGGGTGCGCGATCGTGGATGCGCACGGTTGAGGAGTCCCATACTAGGACGAAACGGCCGTCCAGTGCTTCCAGGTTTTCCATGGTAGTCTAGCTTCAATTGACTCATGATTTCAACGATACTATAAGTTGATCAACAAAATTCAAATATCGTTAAGGTCTAAACAATGTAACGTTGCTTAATACTAGATGATCAGTTAGTAACAGATATCTACATCAACTGAGATTACACAAATTATGTACCTGTTTAATTAACTCTAGTAACATAAATATATCTGAATTCAACTATATACTTTAACCAAATAAGTAGAAGTTAACGACTTATACGAACCAAGAATTATACCAAGTGTTAACATTTGAAATTGAGTTACATTAAAACAGTATTGTGGTTGTTGTTGACTTCAGTTTAATATTCATAATTTTATTACCATTCATTAGTATGTCGCATTTAGAAAACAATCAATTATAAAATATAATGAGAATACACTATATTTCATGCATTCAATTGTAATGAAATATAATCATGTAAGCGAAAAGGACAAATAGTTAAAGCATAAAATTTACACATCAATCAACTTATCTTCATTAAAAGGATTCATTGTATACATGAAAATAGACCGTATAAACAGTAGCCAGTTACATTA